CCAGATATCGCGAATGCAGTAAGAGCGGTAGCACGGTACTGTGCCTCTCCTAAAGAACTTCATTGGAGAGCAGGGCTTGGTATTTTAGGGTATGTGGTACGGACTAGTGACTTGGGTATTACATTCAGGAGGGATAGTGTAGCAGGGTTGAGNCCAGAAGTGCGTCACGTTGAGCACGACAGAGGCGGAGTATGTCTCTCTTGCGGATGTGATGAAGGAAGTGTTGTTTCTGAGGCAGGTGTGGCGTTTCATGTTGCCAGAAGCAGGAATGCCATGTATTCCGGTGTTCGAGGATAACCAGGGGGCTATTCAGTTGGCGCAAAACCCGATAAGTAACAGTAACTCGAAGCACATCGACGCAAGGCACCACTTTATCAGGGAACTGGTAGGCAGGAAGGAGACATGGATTTTTCACGTGGAATCTCACGAAAGCACTTCACGCGGGAGATTTTGAGTTTCATCGTAACTACGTGATGAGTATGGATTAATATATTGGTGTTTGGATTTATTTTGTGTGTGATCAAACAACTGGGGTGGCAACATTTTACATTTTTGCTATGGTTTTTCTCAATGGATGATGTTCTAGGCTGGGGTGCAACTAGTTCACTGAAGTTCGAAGAAGTATAACTGGTATGATCGGGGATGGTTATTGATGTCAGCCAGTGAGGCTATTGTTTTGGAGTTATTTAGGATCGAAAAAGACATGGCATGGTCACAAGCAGGGGGGCTGATAGATATATACTTGTAGCAATGCCAAGTGGTTGTAGGATTGTGTGGTACGTGGAATGTATTTCCAGGGTGTGCAAGGTACCCCTGTTGTATAGTGCGTCGCCCCCTCATGGTGGTGCGTGCACGCGTGTGTGAGTTCATGTAAGTTCATGTAAGTTCGTGTGAGTTCATGTGAGTTCATGTGAAGGAGAAGTTTATGCAACAAACCCTGCACGTCTTTCCTCCTTTGCGCGAGTTCGCCGAGTTGCCGACACCCTATTCAACACACGTCTTGCGACAAGCTACCCCCAGTTCGGATGCAATTTCGAGCATGTACTGCTGTACCTACAGCAAATGTTGCTGCCTCTTGTAGCAAGATGAGGAGATATGCTACGTAGAAAAGAGACGTACAAGTATGGATATGGACATGCATGGATATGCGTAGACTACCGTATATGACCACAAGATCACACACCCCCTGGACCGATTTTCAAAGCTCGATTACTCCACGACGAAGAGGATGCATAAACGAAACGATACATTTTCGAAAAGCTCTCGACGAGACGGTTTCAACACCGCCGTTTTCGGCGCTTTGACTGTTCCGGCAGTTGAGAAATCGAGCTTCGAAAATCGGTCAAGGGGGTGTGTTATCTTGTGTCATATACGGTATATCTGAAAATGTACGTCTCTTCATGTTGGAGCGCTCTAAGACACGAGGTACATGCACGAGACTATTCCGATGTGTACAGAATCCTCACATGAAAGGCATGCTCCTGCTATGCATACGTGTTGGGGCTAGAGCCAGACAGCCAGCTTCAGGCAACATACACTCATCGTGGGTGGTACTTTCGCGACAAACTTGATTCCGTAGACGCTTCGTTATGACCGCGCCTCCCGAGCTCCTCTCGGCTGCCTTGGCAAAGTCGACCGCCCCGATACAGCGAGAGTGATGGTACCCGCAGAGACCGGGGTGCAGCTGTGCCACGGTCTTCCTTTCCGCAAGGTTGTTGATCTCGTGTAGGGGCTGCGGCTCTGCTGCCCCGTGTTGAAAGTAGCGCTGTCCTACCGCCCGGGCCGCAGCAGCCGTGGCGTCGGGAAGTTGGTCTGGCGTAGAGTTTGCGATCGCCAGCAGCTCATCCCAGACAACACGTGGAGCCGTCTCGGGATGCCATTGGTCTGCTATGTGCTGCCAAAACTGAGCAACTTCCTCTGGGTCCATGATGATGGTAGTGATTGGGTTACTTCTGCTGCTGCTGTTGTGCCTAAAGGTAGAGAGGTAGGAGCGGCAAGGAGACTATCGTCCCCGGCCACTTTTCGCTCACAATAGCAAGGGCTTTCGGGACTACAGCTCCGATCACAGCTCCGATCGTCCCGCTCTATCTGTAGTGTAGAAATAGATGATTTTGCACGATTTATTCTATTTGACCCGATATCAAGTTTTTTTGTAGGGTTGGGTACTGAACCAGTACGTACTGCCAGTGCATACTCTGGCAGTGCATATGCACTGGCTGCAACAACAACAACTCCAGCACATTCTTATATTTGCAGATTTCCTCTGTATTACGCCTCAAGAACCAGCGGAAACCCATATACTCAGACCTCCTCTGAGAGACACACCGCCACACGTCAAACACTAGCTACC